CAAAGAAAATTATTTCATAGACTAAATCAATACTTAGATATAAAATATATTTTGGTTTAGTATATAATGTTTGTAAATCTCCTTTTGAATATTGATGAAGCCATGTTAATTTACGACCATTACGTTGTTGAGTATAAAACTTAGTAAAACTCACAAATGTTGTTTTAAGCTAAAAGTTTAATTAAAAAATTATCAAAAACAAAACAACAATGAAAATAACTCTTACTTCAACTGGTAAAACAAAATTTGGTGGCGCAGAAAACGACCATGAATTTGAACTGAGAACCATAACAGAAAAATCAACTAAATGAGAAAAAAAAACAAAATATTATATAAGATTCAAGTTATTTATACTATTCATACCAATATCATCAAGTCTAAGCTTTTCACAATATGTTCGATATTGGTCAATTAAACTTTTACTAACACCAATATCTTGAAACATTCGTTCTAATTTTGATGTATATTTAAAACCACATGCTTGCTAAAATAGATATTTAATATAGATTTGTTATAATCAATATTTACTTTTAATTTTGAAATCATTGATTCTTCATAATCATCAAGTGCACTTAGTTGACCTACTAAGCGTTTGGCTAACATTTTACCATAAAATTTTTGAAAAACATCTTTATCTTCAACATAATTAAAAACCACGTGAGAGAGAGAAAAAAACAAATTAGAAAAAAAAATTAACTAAAATATAATACCATAATTTGATTGAATTTTTCTTCGAGATCTGTCTCTTCTACAGCTTTACTTCTAAAAAAAATTTAAATTGATTTATATTTTAATAATAAATATCTAATTTAAACAAACCCTTTTCGTAGGAGTGTATCACAATAACGAGCTAATAATTTAGGTGATTTTGTCGTATTACCAGTAGCTGTTGTTACTGCATTGTTATTAATAAATTTACCACAAGTCTAAAATATACATATAAGATAACAACTCATATTATACCTTTATTTGCACTAGTACCGATATACTGTGGTATTTATAAGAACTGTCGGTAGCACTTACAACTTTCAGTTGCAGTAATAAACTATTGAAGAGAGTTTTTTCTATTCAAATTCAAATTAATCGAGAAGAAAACAGTTTCAGAATATATTTTACTAACAAAAATTTATCGCATAACCGAGACTAATATAGACTCTGTTGCTAGTACAAACAATTTCAACGCATCAACATTATTAGAGTAGATCGAAAATAACTCAATTCTACCAATTTTAACTGATCTCAAAAATATTCACGTGTTTTCATACAATACAACATGATAGAACATTTTCAAAGAAAAAAAAAGCTGGTAAAGCTCACATTATACCGATGGTAGTTATCATATGGGAATAAACAAGAAAAAGAAAATAAAATTCGATGTACTTTGTCAAGAGCAGCCGTGAAATCTTGTTCATTACTAAAAGCTTCTTGTACAAGTTGGAAGAATTTTGTATGAATTTCAAGAATTGTTTCAACATAAAGTTTTGGATCCTGAACAAATTAACAAATAATTATAATAATCAAATAGAATGAAAAAATTATTCTTATATTAAGTGCATTGGCACTAACTCGTTCGGTAGCATCAATACCCATTTGACGGATAAGATCTTCAACAATTTTTTTCCCTTCAACTGTTGCATTTGGTACTCGACAAACTAATTTAAATAGAAGTGCCAAATCTATTAAAAAATTAAACAAATAAATCATTTTATAACAAAATTAAGACTTATACAAGAATAACAACAAAAACAAATATGTTAATCATATGAAGTTTCCGAAATTAAATTTTTATCTATCTACCTGAATATTTTTCGTCAGGTAAAAGTGCTTTTTCTCCAGTATAAATAGCTTCAAGTTGATCACGAATAAGTACTTCTTCAACTTTTTTAATTAATGGTTCTAATGTTGATGAACGTAAATATGATTGTACACGATGCTTTTCTTCATCAAGACGTTGAGCTACCTATTATAAATATTGTTGAAATATTTTATTTTTATATTTAACAAAAGTAAACCTTTTTGAGATACTCAATAACAGAATTATGCTCACGAATAAAATTAGCTGCTTCAAGTCGATAAAATCGTTCTGTATCTTGAAGAAATGGTATTTCAAAATATTCTTTATAAATTGCCAATGTTGGAGATGTTATTTGATAACTGGTAATTGATACACATGAATTTTCGGTGAAGCAAAGTTCGACTGAAATTTTTCAACTAATTTTTCAAGAATAAAAAAACAAAATTTTATTTAATCTTTACCATAACTTTTTATAATTCCACTAATTAATCGTGTGTTAATTTCTTTATTTTGACGTTCAGCTTTGATTAATTGAAGACATGCTGAAGTAACTTGTCTATTCAATGGTTGGAAAAAGACTAACTGCCAAATTTTCATTGCCATCTAAATTTATATTCAATTTTTAATTAAGTTCAAAAAGATAAACAATTTAATTAACTTACAGTAAAAATTTCATAAACATCTCTTTCTCCTGAGTCATAATGTCTTCGTAGTATCATCTGTCGATTAAAATACTGACAAAATCCATTTGTTAGTTTACTACGAAGTCGATAATGTTTCCAATTGGTTGTATAGAAACGAAGTACATTTTCTCCTTGTAAATCAAGTCCTTTCTAGAAACAAAACAAAAACAAAGACTAATAGAATATAGAATTTTACATAAAATGATTTTCTAAATAATGTATTGATTTTTACAAAACACAATAGAACTATCTGACATGAACGATGAAGTAACGATAAATCATATCTTCCGTTAATTATTTCATTCTCTTTTTTTAGCTTTTCATAACTTCGACCGTTAATAGTTGTAATACGACTTATAACGAATATTGGAATAATAAATGACAACAGAATTGTGCTCGGTGATATAATTTTACGAGTGAGTTATTTACTTCTAGCTCATGTTTTCATCCAAATGCGTCTCAAAAAGTACAAGTCGAAGGTAAGACTTTGAAAATAATTTACGACTACTTCACTAAACTTTTACTACCGATAGTTTACTTCCATCGGTATTAAACAACTAGATTATCTGTTAAACAATCCATTTTTTGAATTGATTTGTCTTTTAATAAATCGTTTAACTAAATTAATTTTTTTGTATAATAATTGTATAAAGATTTCAAAGAACAGGTTAAACTCAATAAAATAATTGAATTATTATTGACATCATACGAATGACAATATTGATATATAATAGTTAATTTGGTTATCATAATAGCATAATAATATACTTAACGAATGATATCAATACAAAATAAAATATTTTATTGCCACGGAAAAGTTGGGTGTGGATGTGGGTGTGGGTGTGGTGTAGGTGTGGGGGTGTGGGTGTGGGTGTATGTGGGTGTGGGTGTGTGGGTGTGAGTGTGTGGGTGGTGTGGGAGTGGGTGTGGGTGTAGGTGGTGTGGGTGTGGGTATGGGGTGCGGGTATGGGTGTGGGTGTGAGCTTGAATCGTCTATTCTCACTCACTCACACCCACATCACCCAGCCACACACCCACCCACACACACATCCAAAAAAAACAATATACTTAACAAAAGGTCTCTCTAAGCATGCTTTTATGAATATAAACTTTGAACATGCCTCTATCATTGACATAAAAACCAGCTTGTTTGTTCGAGCCGTAAGGAAGATATTCTAATTTTTTTTCCTAAGTGACTTTTGGAACACCCTGTATATATACTGAATGGTTTTTTATAGCTACTTAATAGGTCCTATAGCTACTTAATCAACCTACACAACTATCTAATACTCTTCTATAGTTACTTAATGAAACAGCAGCTACTTAATGGTTTCCTATAGCTACTTAATCTTCCTACAGCTACTTCATGATCACAGACCTACTTAATATTAGCCGCTTGAAATTTCCTGTGACTCTTCATATATCCCACATGTATTTAGATTTGCTGTAGCTATTTACAGTTTGCGTACCTATTCAAAATTCTGCAGCAAGGGTGTGGGTGTGTGGATGTGGGTGTGGATGTGGGTGTGGATGTGGGTGGGAGTGGGTGTGGATGTGAGTGGGTGTGGGTGTCTGGGTGTGGATGTGTGGATGTGTGGATGTGTGGGTTCATCTTTCTACAATTAAATTCATACACTCACACTCGCACCCACACCCCATACCCACCCACACCCACACACCCCATCCACACCCACACCCGCACCCCACACCCATTATCAGTTAATGTAAGTCTCACATATGTTTTAATAATTGATAAATAGAACTTCTAGTTTTGTTAATATTGAATATTCAACATAAGTGTATACGGAACTCTAAGTTACGAGAAAGGTAGCATTCATCTTTAAAATATATATAATTTAGAGTTTATTTGATCGCTTGTTTTTTCATCATGGTCTTGATTTAACATCATCATTACAAATTCTAATTGAAATATATGTTCGTTGGTTAACAACAAAATTCAAATACTTTTTGTATTCAATTAAAATATGAATTAATAAGTTTATTTATATATCTATCTGATTTATTTCCATCATGACAACATTTATCAAATTTGTATGATTTATATGATGAATATTTTCGTACATGGTTTGATAAAGATGATTTAATGATATCATTAATAAGTTATAATTTATGTAAATCTGGTATATTATTTGAACAAGCAACAAAAGAATATAATGAATTATATATACATTTAATTGAACATAATTATAAATTAATAACTAAAACTCATGCATATGCATCATGTTTATTTTTACTTGAAAGTCATGAAGTTGATTTAAATTCATATGATATTTTATTATCATTAATTAAAGATGATAATTTAACACAAAAAAATTATATCAATTAGTCTTGAAAGACTTTTAATAGTTGGTCAATATCCTAAAAATGATATATGTCGTTTTATATGAACATTCAATAACAATAATACGTCAATCATCATCGTTTAATATTGATTATCTTGTTTGAATACTTACACGTATTTATACATTATTACAACGACCAAATAAAAATACAAATTCATTAAATAATGAACATGTTAATGAAGAACAAAAAATGTTTGATAGTTCATCAATAATATAATCATCAACATTACCATATGAAGCTGTACTTTTATTACGTCCATTGCCATTATAACGTGCACATATTGCTTTATCGAATCGTTTAATGAATAAAATAGTTTTAGAATTTGCTGCATCAACATAACAATTATATCCTCAAATGCTTGCATATACAGTCTTTCCTTTTTTCCTGCTTTAATTAATGCACGTTATTCAGCTAAAGTTAATGAATGGACTTTATTATCAATGACAAATATTGCACAAAGAAAATCAATATGTATGGCTATATGGGAATTAACTTGTCTTAGGTTAAGTGCATGTCCATCACATACAATTTAAATCATTTATCCTTGTGATTTTTTTTCTTAGTTCTTTATATTAATCTTTAAAGAAAAAAAAAATTCATATTGAAATTTCATACTGATGATTTAATAGTGAATTAATATTGCACGAGTTTTTTTTTTGAATTAATTTTTATGAGTAAAATAGAGTGAAATCGTATTTAGACTGTTTGATGAGCTATTTTTTTCGACCTATGGTTAAATATTCTTTCTAGGTTTCTTTTCCGAAGGAATAACGATCAATTAAAAATTAATAAATTACGCAGCAGTTTTTAGAGTAAAAACACTTTGCTCTATCTAACGAGTTGTAAATCACAAAATCAATAAATTTCACCATGAAATGTCAAAATGAATTCTTATAGATAATATGGTATATCTTTTACCTTTTTAGGTTTTTATTGACGTTATCACGTTTCAGTGCTCATTTTAAAAAATTAGACAATCGTTTATTTCTTATTTCTGATCGAGAATATTATCTGCAAGTATTATAAAAGAGACAAAAGAAAAGCTCCAAATATTAATTGTATCAAAACAAATCTATTTTACTTATTTTAGTTAACGAATATCGAACAACGACGTCAATTTAAACAAGCATTCATAAATGAATCGAATCCAAAAAAATTATATGCTGATTTACTTGCACACATTCAAAATACGATCTTATCATGGTCTTAGTGTGGGTGTAGATGTTGTTTGGATGTGTTGATGGATCATATACTCTCTCTTACCCACACCCTCAATAAAGACTAAAAATATCGATTCATAAAATGAAAACATATCAACAAGAATTCATTTATTTACTTTTTTACTAGAGTCGGTCTCTGTTATAACAATCATATCTAAATTTTCTAAATCAATCAGAATAGATTATTATTAAATTTTAGCTACATAGACTAATACAAAATAGGTTAAATAAAATATCTCTAGTGAACATTATTGTTGTTTGCAAAAGATAATCAATTTCCACGAAAACCATCAGTCTCATTTATTTTGTGCTCTAACTTCGGTTTGGTTTGTTGATTTGTATTTCATATTGTATGTTTTATTATGATTTCAACCATTGATTTAACTAGTAAATAAGTCGGTTACATGTATCCATTAAAGTTAGAATAGGAACAGTTTACCTTTTTTATATTGATCCCATAACGGCTACATATTATTTAAAGTATTTACAAACATATTTCAGGCATTGAAGTTTCAAGGAAGACTTTTAAATGTTTTAGAATAGTCTAAATCTGGTTGATGATGTCACACCCACCCTAATAATATCAAGAAGAGTGTGAGTATAGATGTTGATATTCTGTTTAACCACATCAACGTTCTCTTTGAATCGTTTTGGTTTAGTACATTATATGTAAAAGCATCTACCATACTTCATCATATTGAACTGCTTTCTGAAAATCCGTTAATAATGATAAATTCAAAAAGTCTCGCACTATAATAAAGAAAAAAAATTGAATATTTTAATGTAAAAAGCAATTCATCATTATTTTTAATCAAAATATTATTATTATGATTTTTATGTACAAAAACCAATTTCTGGATTTGGTAAATTTTTATAAATGTAAATTGATTGCCCATAATCCTTGTTGCAAAATACTCCATGAAACATCGTTTGATAATCGCATATAACATCACAACTTTACAAAAAATGATTATATCTTAGCTAATCATTTTTTTGTTTTACGTGCTTGTCTATATTTACTCATTTTTCCAAAATTACTAATATCTGTTTATGGTAGATGCCGTTGTCCCAATGAATAGCATGATGCCGAATCTTGTTCTATTTTCATTACTGAGAATAGGAGAGACGATTAGTAGCTTATGAACAAGCTGATGACACGAAAGATGGTCGTATTCTTCAAAACTTTTTTCCCATAATCTACTTTCGTGATTTAAATTTTGTGTTCTAACTTACGTAACTTTGCTTCAAATATTTTTTTTTGTCGTTGAAACAGTAAACTTTGCACACATGTGACGAAACAAAATAAAGAAATTTTTTTCCGTAAAATTTAATTTAAACAGAGGTATATGCAGTAAGATGTGAGTTTCCGGTTCATCTACAAATTCACACACTCTATTGTCTATTAAACCATGGTTTAGATAGAAAAAATTTAAAATAAATATTGTTTTCTGTTCCAACTGATTCTAGCCATTCTAAATCCGATCAGAACTGCGTTTAAGTAAGTAAAATGATTGAATTTATAGTCGGACTTTAATTCTCATCAAGTAACATAAGTTATTGTATTCTTCATCTTTTTTCCCTAGAGACATGTTTCTTTTTTTCAATTTTCGGATAATTATCAATTTAGCTTGCTTTTTATTTCAACAAGGAAGTCGTTGCCAATTCGTCTAGACTAAGAAAATATTTCCCCATAGTTACGGGTAATTATCTCCCTCTTTTGAATAGATCAATCAATCTCATCTGCATTTTTCTAGCTAACTTTGTCTTATTGAAATATAAGGTTATTCGATTTCCGCCAAAATGACATTCTCCAATATGTAATTCCCTGAAGTCACATTTTCGCGAATATTCGCCATCGACGAAATTCAGCAACTCTAGATATTATTAGTCAAGTCTCCGAATCTTAAATAAATATATTTCTTTTGAATAAGGGCAAATTTAGATAAAATTGAAACTGACTTATATCACAAATATTCACTCTGTTCTTTAATTAACCTTAAGAAAATCTTGTATTTCTCGCCAAAAAAAAAAATTTCTTACGCTTGAATATTTTGAATATAAATTTCCCAAGAGTTATTCAAAAAAAAAGAGGATTTTGCAAAGTCATGATCCTTAAAAAGATGATGATGCTGAAACCTTGCAGAACGCTGGTAGAAGTAGTTAATAGTTACGTCATTGGTTGTTTTAAAAACTATGCATTGAAAACAAAAACATGTTTGTTAACTCCGACTGAAGTATTCGCTAGTCAAAGAAACATTTGAATTATAGCAGTATGTGTGCGCAAATTTTTTCATCACTAGTAAATTTATCGATAAAAATCTTGAACAAACTGTTCCAATTCTTCTGAAAAATCATGATTTTTATCAATACACTTATGCTCTGATATCAAAGATTGGTTCTTTTTTAACTACTGCTTCGTCGTAGATTGAGATGATTCCAATGGATGATAAATTTAATTTCGTCAACCGTTGTCTATTTAAGAGGATTCATGGTTCCACCGACTACGTATGCCTTTTTCTTTTGATATCGAATACAATTGTTGTTATTCTTTTCAAGGAACTAGCGTCTTTGGTCAATGTTAAATTCAAGTACCAAACCTGTTTCTGTATTCTCTATCATTATAAGTATAGCTATAGTCATTGGCACACTAATAGTTCATTCAAAAACATCACAAACATCAGACATTTTACTTCTTGTTTTATATGTACTATATTTCTACGATGAATATAGGTAACAATGTTGTGCACTTTTTGGTTAAAAAAACCATCAAATTTTGATAGCATTTGATATCGATATCTTTTAAGTCAATCATCGGTTGAGAAGAAAGTTAGGAGAGTTAAAAATCCTTCACTTTGATCTGATTATCTATAGATGACTGAGTCAAATTGTTTGATCTGCCTCTTCTATTTTTTTTTATCATAGATCTTTTAAAGTTCTACAAAAGATTTCTTTTTCTATATCATATTCGTGTAATTTTTGGATATAATAAAAGGCGATTGAAAAGTCTCGAATCCTATCAGTAAATTACTGGTAATTGATCGAAATATATGATTTCATAGAGGAAAAGAGAGAGCTTCATTTGACAAGAAGATACTTTGACATGCATCAATATATTCCACTGCTTTTTTTTGATATTTTATCAATTTCGAGTGAATCTTTTTCATAACAGCAGTATGTCTTTGATCCCCACAAGGGTTTTATAGAAGAGGGTCTGGGTGTGAGTGTGAGTGTAGGCGTTGGAATAAACCTGAAGAATGGACACATCCAAACTGACATCCACATCTACGGGCACACCCACCCACACCCTATCCTGATAACCAAGTGAATGGCCAGTGTGACGATGAAGACATCTACACTTAGACCCATAGTCCCACTAACATACCCACCTACATCTTTACACCCATACCTATAGCCACATATACACCTCACCCTCACGCACACACATTTCGAAAAAGAAACATACCCTCTGATTTCTTTTTCGTGAATTTCTTAGCATTATTTTGGTAGCTACTATTTAGATCTCTCGATTGATATGAAATTCAATATAGCAGAGAATTGAGTGATATTCGGCATGAGAGTTCATTAATGGTATGCGACATCAATCATATCCTTATGTAAAAAAAGGCAAAGAATAATCGTTTCTCATGTGTTCATACACCATTCAGCAGAGAACTAGAATAGCTTAATTTTTCATATAGATTGGCTAAATATATGAGCACATGAATGGATTGTTTTCATAGAAAACATTCTATAATATAATCTT